GATCTCCTAAGAACAAAATTAAACTGAATAGGGCTACTCGTTAGTTTAAGAATTTCTTAAAAGTCTCACTGCGACGGATGACATAAATTACTTTATTTGGAAACTCTCTAAAAAACATAAACATCAGATTAAGCATGATGGTCTCATTAGAAATAAAGATAGTGATTGGGCCAAGTCCGATGAAGATAAAGCACAAGCATTCGCTAATCATCTCAGCCAAGTTTTTCAACCTTACTCCAAACCTATCTGAAAGGAAGAAGAAGAATTCATTCACAAGAACTTAGATGCATCCTACCAGATGTCACCTCCTATAGAAAATATCAAAATTAACGAAATTCAAGAATTAGTTAAACATCTCAATACTAAAAAAGCTCCAGGGTATGATTTATTATCGGTAAAAATCTGCAAAAATTTACCTGAAGAAGGATTTTGGTTGGTTATGTACATATTTAACGCTATACTAAAGTTAGGCTATTTTTCGTTTCAATGGAAAATGGCACAAATTATTCTTTTATACCGAAACCAAATAAAGATCCACACGAACTATCATCCTATCGTCCAATCAGTTTGCTTCCCATTATCTCTAAGATATTTGAATAATTCCTTCAAGGAATAAATTCTATAATCGACAGGCAAAAGTTAATATCGGATTATCAGTTTGGATTCAGACAACAACATGGAACAATTGAGCAGGTACATAGAGTTGCCAAAGTAGCAAGAGATACAATTAAAAAGAAAGAATACTACACTGCAGCCTTTTTGGATGCCTCACAAGCATTTGATAAAGTATAGTATGAGGGGCTGCTATCTAAAATAAAAACTGACTTTCTTTTTTTTTGTATGAACTTCTAAGATTCCATCTTACCAATTGATAATTCCCGGTCAGATACAATAAAACAGTAATATCTCCAATTTTATCGGGAGTACCTCTGGGTAGGGATGGCGGTTTTTGACAAAACACCGGTTTTCGGTTATACCGGTTTTTTTTGCTTACGGTTTAACCTGACGGTTATAACCGGCCAAAAAAACCGGTTTTTCCAAATCGGTTTTTTTAATCAAATAGATTACAAACTTACATTTACAATGCACTTTAGTTTGCGATACTTCATTCGACTCGATATCAATATTATCAAAATTAGTACTATCGAAAGAACATCAATATCAATATAAATAAGACACAATTTTTAATAAAACCATTTTATTCTATTAATTATTATATTTGTTTATTATTCTATTATTATTATATATTTATTGATTATTATTAAACATAATATTATACTACTGCTCAACAGAGAGCGCTGAAATAATTCAGGTTCTATTGTCATTGAATATATTATGAGAGTAGAATATAATCTGCAATTATCGTATTCAATTATTGATGCAAATTTAATTTACCATTTAAAAATATAATCCTTTAAAATATCCACCAATTTTCCTCTCCCAAACTCAAAAAATTCCTCAACCATTGCAATTTATAAAAAATTTCCCAGACTCTTTCGAATGGGATTTAAAAAAATAATATCACCACAAATATTTTACTTAAAAATAAATTGGATAATGCAATTCATCTTTTATTTTTACTACCATAAAAAAAATTTATCATTTTTAAACTTTTAACACGTTTGTATATTTGTATAATTGGTACATTTTAACTCATTTATTACTTCCTGTCAGTTTAAAAACGTAGGGAAATCCTTGGAGATTCGTATTCGTAATCAGTAATTCGATATTCATAGTCAGAACATTATTTTTGGTAATCAGCAAAAGCCATTCACCCACTTTCAATGTCAAGAGTCAAGTGTGAAAAGTATAAATATGATATTTCTTATGTAAATATTATGATTTTAAATACCTTTTCAACGAAATATTATCTGATGTGAGTTTGCAATTTTAGTTTGCTTCTGTATTTATAAAATAAAATAATATTTGAATTATGGTTTCGTTTGAAATATTTACTTGAGAATAATAATTATGACTGGGATTAAAAACAATACATAACCTAATCACCGTAAAAACCTAATAACCGGTTTTTACTTTAAAAATAAAAAACCGGTTATAACCGGGACAAAAAAACAACCGATAAAACCGGTTATTGCGAAGTAAAAAAACCGGTTTTCGGTTAAAACCGGTAGGTTTTTCCCATCCCTACCTCTGGGTAGTATATTGGAACCAACTTTCTCTTATACTTACTATATACGGCAGATATATCCACAAGAGTAAACAGTACAATTGCTACCTATGCATATGATCCTATGATAATAGCTTCTAGCTCGGTTCCTGTTACAGCATGTCAAAATTTACAAATTCATTTAAATGAATTAGAGAAATGGTTAAAACATTTACTTTACACAGAGAGAGTGTACTATCTATGCGCAAAAAAATACCGTAATACTAACAAAAAGTGATGTTAAATACTTGGGAGTACATTTTGACAGTCGAATAAATTTCCAATCTAAAATTTTGAGACGTATTACCAATGCATCTTGGCATATGCTCAATTATGTTATACATCGAAACCTTCAGATCCAAAAATATTAAAGACACCGTTGTTTCACTCAGTGGCACAAAAATAGACTACTACGCTTGCTATTAAGCGACCTACTACCTACTTAAGCCACCGAGGAGAGAAGGACTAAAATACCGTGATCCCTTCAACCTTTCTATAATAAACGTATACTTTATCATTTCATAGCTACAACTTATATTAAATATTATAAACCTATAACTTATAATTGTGTATATTTTAACTATTGCTATTTTTTAATATGTTAGTAAATGTCTTTGTAAAGTGTTATTCAAATATATATATATATATATATATATATATATATATATATATATATATATATATATATATATATGTATATAGTAAACTCTTAAATATTGGGGAAATCTGCAAGAAAAACTCTAATATGTATCAATTGTTTCGCCTAACGTTTTCGCCAAAGAGAATGAATTTGGCTTCTTCAGGGCTGAAAGAGAATAAATTATAATAAGCTACCATATATTATCTAATAAAAAACATTCACCTTACCGTAAATTTTAGAAATGTCGAGTTATGATGTTAAAAAACTTTAGCTAGTAACAACATAGTGGTGTTTTTTTTGTTACTATGTGCAAAAAAGTGTTTTAGTTAACGTTGGAAATGTATGGTAGCTTTGAACTTAAAACGCAAAGGTTTACCCAAGGTTAATCGAAAAACCCAATGTAGCTACATTTAAAGGAAGTAATTCTTTGAATTGTAGGCAATAACTAAATTTTTGATTGTTATAAAGTTTGAATGTGATCTTCTGTTTTCATAGAACGCAAGCGCTGACAATTACAAGTAGTGCTTTTGAATATTTATGTCGTTAAGGTTAAGTTAGTTCCCAGTCTGGGGAGATATTAGTTTGGAATTTTCTTAATTAAAATTCTTTTTTAATTAGTATATCGTTCATCTATTATTATAATAATATCTTATTGAGATGTATCTAAGAAAAGCAAGGGAATGTTATCTTTTTTAGTTAATGAAAAGATAACATTCCATAACATAACAGTGGTTGGAAAATAAGTTATTAGTTAGATGTTCAAACTTTTTTATGTTAGTACTGGACATATTATACAAAATTTTTCGAAACAACGGCTATTCTAAACATATTTTAAAAAAACTCATTTACAGCAGTAATTTCTATGATGGTCCTGTCCTTGATTCCAACAATGAGTCAATCAAATATAAAAAACTCCCCTTTATCAATGGTCTAACTCATTCAATCTTATACCAACCTTATATAGGAGTAATGTGGTATATGAAATACCGTGTCTAGGATGTGAAAAAAGCTACATTGGCCATACATCGCAGTGGCTAAAACAACGTATCACATAGCACAAAAGTGATTGCAGCTTAGGAAAAAATAGTTGAGCAGTAGTCGAGCATTATAAAAACACCGGTCATCTGTTAGACTATAACAATGCTCGTATTTTGGCACAGACTGACAATTACAAAAGTAGGTTATTTTTGGAGATGTACCACATCAACAAAAATAAACAAACTTTAAATTATAAAACAGACGCGGGGCAAGTAAGCAACATATATTGCAATATATTGAACAAAATTTAAAACTCACTCACCTTAATGATTAATGATACTAACTAGCCTTAATGATTAATTAAAGAAATAATATTCCTCTAATGTTTTCTTACATTGTTAGTTTTTGCATCTTAAATAACTTTTAGTTGTTTCCATCTTATTTATTGTTAACGAACATGCTCAAATATATTTATATTTTAACATGCATATACATTATCAAAAATGTTTATTTTAATGTCAAGTTTATTTATGTGTGAAATCTCTTAATTTCTGTAAGTATTGTAAATCTAAGTGTACGTCATTTTTTTGAGATGTTTGTTTTTTACAGTTACTCCTCATGAAGCTGTTAAATAAATGGCGAAATATTGAGTTTTAGAAAAAACAAAGATATTTATTTAATATAGACCACATACCCGATATTTCCAACATACTGATAAATTGTTTTTTGATATATATATATATATATATATATATATATATATATATATATATATATATGTAACAGAAATTTATCTCAAAGGATTTTTGTCACTGGACTGATCTACCCTGTGTTAATTAGATGATAAACTTGATAATTGTTTTTTTATTTGTAGAAAAAGATTACAATAAATACAGAATGTAAAAAAAAAAAAAAAAAAATAATAATCAAACAACAATCAAACATCTCAAGTTGTTATATATTTTAATTTGTCTGAATATATGGTTGGTACGATTTGTATTGGAACTTAAGAAAGTATTCATTATTAAAACTCAGAAAATAAATAAACAATATGCCGTGATTAAATGTTGTATACCAAATTTTAATTTTAAATCTACTAGACGCCCATACTTCAATTCCTAAATTTAAGGAAACTTAGAGTAACATCACACTTTTAACAACTTTTTCAAAAACCGCATTCAATGTCTCATTACCATAATCTCTTTTTCTTTGCAGGACGAGCACACAATCCTGCGATCGTGGGCCGTCAAGGACTTCGCTCCCAACGTCGCCCAATACGTGCAAATTTTCCGACCGGAGAACAAACTTCATGTCAAGTTCGCGGAGTTCGTAGTCTGCGAGGACGAGTTCAAATACGCCTTGCTCGCAAACAATTGCACGTGTCCTGGCGCGTCTACCTTGGTGACGTTGTTGCTGCATACTTCGAGAGGACAGTAAGTTTACTGCTGCGTGAATAGTTACTTGAATTGAGAAGTTTAGACAATCGGTTTTTTAAACGTCGGAACGAGAATTTCGAGATGTTAATCTATGAAAAGGGATAAAATGAAAGGGTTGACAGCCCTGAATATATTTCGAAAGAATTTTTAATTACTTGTTTATTATTGCTTCGAAATAAAAAAAAACTTCAACTGACTTTTGTGAAATAATGAATTTTTTACTCTATAAAGGTATTTTTTATTCCTAATCATGCTTTATAAGGGCGGTTATAATGTATTATTAAATATTAATACACGTTGTTTTAAATGTCGATTATAGAAAATGGTTTAAATTGCTATTTCTTAATAATTGAGTATAAACTATGTAAATGTATTAATAATAAAATATTAAACTATATTCGCTGTGAGTTTCGCCGGTAGCGCTCTCTCGCGGTTTGAAACTTGTACTTTTCTTGTAAAATTAGTGTAAATGAAATATGACAAAACGAGAAAAATAGATATTTATTTAAAAATACAAAATAATGAACTGAAATATTATGGTAAACTGATTAATGAACGAATACACAGAATTAATAGTAAAAGTAATTACGCCTTGTTATTTAATTCATTATAATTATAATATTTAAGATATAAGTTCTTGCGACTGGATGACTACTTACGTAAGAGGTCATTGAGAAAAAGAAGAAGTTTATATGAAAATATTTAATGGTTAAAGCAAATATTTAAGGTTTAGACGCTGAAAACGTCTATATTCTTTAGTTAAAGGTTACCTTTATGTTTTTATTTTACATTTTTATTCTGTTTTTGCTCAGTTATTTTTTGCTTAGATATCAATTTGTTTTAATCCTTCTTCTTCTTCTTCTTTCGTTTTATGGCCTCTACCTATTAAATTTGTTTTAATTTTATCAAAATGGATATTAAACATTATACTGGTTTTAAGTCTATATCACATGATATCCCATTTCAACCAGCTACACCAAAAAAGGGAAAAGGTTTAGTTGATGCAGGGCATGTACGCAATGTTTCGGAATATAATAGCTTTTTAATTTTACACCACACAAATATCATGTTTGCATTATAGGTTATTTACTTATTTTTTCATTGATATCAATAATCCATTTTTCTCTTTGAACTATTTTATGCTTGGCAACAGGAAATGAATAAAATTTACAATGACTGTTGTACCCAGTATTTTTACATGTATCATATATTTTTCTTTTTGAAAAATCCATATTCGCCATTATTTGAATGTTTACAAGTTAAATGCACAAAACTGCCACTAACAGCGTTGGTGAAAACTGTCAAATCCCCTCTACTCATCGGCTCACAGCGAATACTAATAACTATAAAATAATAAACTTATATACTAATAAAATTATTAATTTTAGTTATTTTTTACACATATAAATGCTTTTTTTCTTTAAACGTCAAATAATGATGACATTACTTATTTAACTTGATCCTGTCCAAGTTTGATGTCGCCAGTTTTTTTTCCCATTTCTTTACGGCGCGGCGGAGGGAAAATGTTGTCATGGCAACAATATGAAACATATCACAAAGCAACAATACAAATGTCATTAACAACAATTAAACATCATTTTTATTTATAGCAATATTAAAAGTACAATTAGTTAATAAGGCATTTTCAAAATTGAAACCGTGCAAAAATGTTCCCGACTCTTGATACGCATTGGTAATTGTTGATGATACTGATGGTCGAGAACAACTTTCAGCAATCATTCCCGATGTTGGCGAATCATGAGGGTTTAAAATTTTTTGAGCATTATCGTTCTTATTTCTTATTGAATCCTCTATATACCATTCGGCAACCGTGCTTGATTTCCAGCTCATATGTCGTTTGAGGCATTCTAGATTTCCGCCTCCATAAATTAAAAGTGTTGCTGAAGTTCGTCGTAAAGAGTGACCCCTGTATGCGCTTGCATCGTTTAAATTTAAATAACTAGCTACTTTTTTTACTGCGCTGATCGAATGTATTCCCATGACGCTTCGGTAACACTTTCCATTTTGGTACTTGATAAAATCGGTTTTCTGTGAGATTTTCAGGCCGCAGTGATGCATACTTTTTATACAGTTTAATGTAGTTTTGGCCAATTATCGTAAAAGATCTAATTTGTCGTGTTTTTCTGTCTGGGATTTTGATAATTATTACATTTTCTTTATCCTCAATGTACACAGTCTTCATTTTTACTACTTCGTAGCATCGACAGGTGCCGGTAACCCCAATTAACAAAACAATCTGAAATATTTTTATAATTTAGTAGAGTATACTACATGCTTTGCAATTAATTACTATTAAACTGGGAATAAGCCACAATTAAAAATAAAAATACGTTTATTGACGTTTCAATTTCCACTTCGGAAATCGTTCTCAAAATACAAACAGTAATAATAAATTTACTGTTTGTATTTTGAGAACGATTTCCGAAGTGGAAATTGAAACGTCAATAAACGTATTTTTATCTTTAATTGTGGCTTATTCCCAGTTTAATGGTAATTAATTTACAATGCCACAAGAAAATAGCTTCAGAACAATGCTTTGCAATATTATTTTTTTTTACCTTTAATCCTAAATACAACTTATCTGGCGCTTCAAACAAAAATTTATCAAACTCGTTTTTAGTAAAAACTTTAGACTTCTTTGCAGTATATCCTTCACTTGTTTTTTTTTCAGAAAGGCACGTAACTTTAAAAATTTGCTTATATCCACATTTTTTCTAATAACTAACTCGGATTTTATCATAGAGTATCGTGACCACATAGTAGAAGATTTCCATTTATTTTTATTTTCTATTATATTAAAATATGCCAGTAAAACGTCTTCGGTAACTTGCCGTATTCCTCTTGTGTCGCACCACTGGAAGTGCTTGTAGGCTAACCGATACTTTATTCCGGACTTGGAGGGCCCCAAACGTACTACTGCATCGTTATCCGCGGACTCAATTTCGTTTAGGTTTTCCATTTTCGCACTAAATTTGCACTTGCGGTTGCAACAACAATAAGCTGTCTTTAATAATTGCAAACAACTGTCAAACAACTGTAACCAGGGAGACGCAAATCCCACAGACGATTTAATTATTTTAATTTCTAACATCTAGACGACTTTGATAGTTGTTACAGTTAATTTCGAGTAAAAATAGCGTATGAATTGTACTATTTATGGTTGAAAATTGCTACGTTTGAAGAAAAAATAGTATACTTTATTCGGCAAATAAGCGACTTTTCTTCACTTGCCCTCTATTACGCGCCTCACTTCGTTCGGCGCGTAATATCGGGCGCGTCAAGAAAAGTCATGCTTCTCCGCTGCATAAAGTAATATACTATTATCACACAAAAATTATTAATGATTATAACCCTTAATCGAGTCTAACTAAAGTACATATAAGAAAGTTTTGTTTATAAACAATTTATTTTAGAAAACTATTTAAAAATAAAATGTGACACCAATATCTGGTATTTTTTTGTTCATGTACAAAAAAATAGGTGTCCGATAAAAGCAAATCTTAAATGGGAATTATTTACCCTATCGGAAAAATACAAACCGGCACCTTGCATATTTTGCACACATATTTGGTCTTCTTTTTATGGCCTCTCTTACTTCAACATTTACATCTGTTGAAAGATAATATAGAAGGCATGTGCATGCCAATATTTGCCAAGATAACTTTATATAGGATTCCAAAAACACCACCTTTTTTTAGTCTAAAAATAGTTGCACGTCGCTGTATCAAAAAATATTTATTAATTACTGCCCTACCCAGTCTTAACGGAAGTTTGTTGTGGATGTTACGTCTGTCACGATAGTCTTAAATATATAAGATCTTAAATCTTAAATGTAGGCTTCAAAGCCTGTTTCTTCTTTAATATTAGCCTCCTAAATTGTTTAAATTGCCGCATTATCTTTTTGTTGGTCTACCAATACTTCTTCATCCATTTGGTCACTGATCTCGTGCTGTTCGTACTATTCTATCCACTGCCATTTCACTGATGTGTTCTTTCCACTACTGTTTCTGTTTTGTCAACTATGCATTTATGTGTTCTATATTGCATGCTCTTTTTGTTTTTTAGTCATCTCTTTTTAGATGTCTTCGCCATGTATATTAATATAGGTTTAATTGCTACTTTATAGATTCTTGTTTTTGTATCTTGTCTTAGGTGCTTGGTCTTCCAGATTATGTCATTAAGAGATCCCGCCGCTTTAGTTGCTCTTAAGCTTTGTTGTCGTACTTCTATAACATCTCCGTATTTAGTTCTATCTATTCCCATATATCCAAACCTTCCTTCTTGCTTTATTATTTTCCGTTCAATTTCTATTTTAAATCGAAGTGGGTATTTGGTTTTTTTTTTTTGCTAATATTATCACATTGTATATCTTGGCTGTTGTATGGAATATGTGTGGTAATCTTTGGAGCTCGTCTTCTGTCACGGCGATTAATGCGGCGTGGCGCGTCTTCTGCATTACATAATATTTAGATCTCTTTGTTCCTCATTCTGTAACCATGACTTTTACATATATAAACTATACGCGTTTATCACTGTAGCTTCGACAAGGATCCAGAAAATCCGGAACCATGCATCCTGCATCTTTTTGGAAAGATTGGTTCAGAATTTTTAGCATGGGCCGTATTTTATACAAGTTATCATGACCGGATTCTTGGCTAAGAATCGCAGCTGAATTGTTATTTGCATGCAAATTTTCATTTTAAATTTGTTTCAACAAACATTTTCAGATTTGCAGTGCCTATGGAATGGAGAGAGCAAAAAATCATTCAAATGATTGTTAAGTTTGTACTATCGATGTTTCTGGATACAACTCTAAAAATAAGAAAGTGGTTGTTTATCCTAACTTCTGCCTAACCTGAACTGCCAGTCCCTGTGCCTTCTCTACGTACTGATGACATTTTAAATACTAGTGAATCAGAATCTAATGAAAGTAGTCTAGGAAGTGATGGTGAATTTCAGTGTTCTTCAGAAAATTA